CGTTTTAATGTACATGTGTCGTCAAGTATCACAACCTCAATCGAATAAATGTCTGAGAGATTTTTTTCATTGGAATGAAATGTAACGTTTCTATTGAAACGAATGTTTCTCGTGCAATAACAAGAAGAAAGAATAATATTTTTATTTGAAGCTTCTTAATCGAGAGAACATCAATACATGTGCTACTTGACAAGAGTTTTCTCACATATTGAACATGATAAAGTATTTCTTTTTGATTTTTGAAAGAAAAAAAAGGAAATACTTTTTGTTTTTCTTTCTTCTATTTGGTTACCTTGGAGAGCCCAATGTGTATTTTGAATTGTTTAAAAATATGTTTTCTTCCGACAGAATCTACATTAGTTTTCCCGTCACAGTTCTATTGCTCCACTGATTCAGAAAGTTTTTTCTTGTATTTTAATTTGTTTCAAGGCGCGTATGTCATTTTTTATTTAATATTTGTTTTTTTTTTCTTCTCTTCAAGCAATTTTCTTCTAATGACAGGAAGTCCTCGAACATCGACTGGCACTTTCGATGGTGGTGGAAATTCTATAGTCGAACAAACGGCAGATATTTTAACACGTTTTCGCAACAGTCTTGTTCGAAGTCGGAAAGAACGTTTACTCGATGAAGATGTTCAAGCGACAGAAAATCTTGTCAATCATATTCATTTAACGGAACTAATGGCGAAAGAAACCTTAGGAAAATTAATCTCACAAGGTGATTCGATGCAACGATCGTACAATTTGATAAATCAATTAGAAAGAGAAATTAAAGATATTGCTGAAGATTTAAATGAAGTTAACGGCGGAAGATGTTGGGGTGCGTGTGCAAATGGAACATTTTTCGGTTTTACATGTTTGGGATGTTTCAAGAAAAAGCCAAGAAAAAGATCGAAAAAGAAAAAATTGAAAATTATCGAACCGAATTCTCATTCACCCAATCAGATTCGTTGGGTAAAACTTTTCCAGTTAAAGATCATCAAATTGATCGAAATTTTGTTTAGAGTTCGACCAGTGAACGTGATGAAATGATTGCACGAACTCGACAACTGGCACGTAATCGTCGTCAACATCAAGATTTTCTTCAAACCATCACTCGAATCAATCAAACCAAACAAAATCAAGACGAAACAAATGCAAAACAACTCAGTCAATTTCGTGATTATCTTTTACAACATCATTCCTTGTCCTACGGTTATATTGATCAACCTGAACGTTTATTCAATGAAGTTAACATGGCCATTCATTTTACACAGTTAAATACACATTTGGATCATTTATTTCAACTAACAGAATCAATGAGCAATGAAGTTAATAAACATAATATTGTTATTACGAAAATCGAAGCACAAGCAATGCAAAGTGGTGATCTTTTAACTGATTATACTTTACTTGGTCATCAAATCTTAGGATCACCAGTATTACATTCACAAACGTCAACAAATCCTTTACCGATCTCTGCAGGACAAAAAGTCCTTCTTAATGCTGTTGTTTAAAATTAGTCAATGAATCATTTTCTAACAAAATCTTATGAATTGTTTTAGATAGAAAAATGTCTTCGGAATCTTATTTTTATGATCAATCTTCTCCTGCATCGCGTCTTGGTGGAATTTATCGATCGAAACGCAATCTTGATGATTTAAATCAAGCTTTATGTCAAGCACAAACTGCAGTAACATTCGAAGAACAAAAACAAAGTCAATCCATCGATAAAACATTTGGCAACTTACAAATTTCCTATGTGTCCGATATTATTCTCAAAGAATTAGATTCAGTTCTACCAACATTTGATATTCAACAAGATGAAGATCAATCGAAAATCTCTCTCCCAAGTTCTCTCATCCTTCAATTACATTCATCATGGAATGACTTAATAAAAAACACTGAATACAAACAAAAGGTATTTTATTTCTGTATCGATCTTTACTGTATTGTCTTTGTAGATTTGGAGAACAAAAGCAGGTGAAGATGCTTGGCGACATTATCTACAACGCCGCCGTTTTGAACAAAACAAACTCGACAAACGACAAAGCGTCTTTGATACAAAAGTACGACAACGTCGAAAAAGTTCTCGAATCAGCGTCTCATCAGCAACACATCGACGAATCTCACGCGGATTAATTATGACTCCAACGATTGTCAAAGAAGAACCTTATCGAGTTGTTAAACCAATGATGGATAATAGTACAGAATCAATTAAAAATGGTGTTCATGTCGAATTTAAATTTTCAACACAAATTTTAAAAAGTGTACAGAAAATTCCCGTTGTGGAACCAAAATGTAAGTTTTCATTTACGGTAATTTATTTTTAATTGAATATTTTAGTTATCCAATTCGATGTAGAAAAATCGGGTATTGATTTTAATCAAGAAGTTATTCTTTCAATACAAAAACAATGCAAACGATTATTAGCAGAAACAAAACAAAAAATGTAGAAAATTTTCTCCTTATTTTCCTGTCTTAACATCGTTTCTTCTTTGACAGACTCTCAACAACGGATAATTTCAATGGAAAACATTCGAAGACGTGCCAAGTTTGGTTTTATGATGATAATCCATATATGAGAAATAAGAATAATTTATTATTATTAAACGAATCATCTCGTTTGTTTCTTCTCGCTTTATTTCCACAGTCGAATAATTTTCTTTTCTAGGTCAAAAACGAGCAAAATTCGTTCTTTCAATTGTACGACGTGAAATTCCAGAAAAATATAATATTAATATAGAAATTCCTGAAACAAAAAAGAAATGTTATGTTGAATTACCCGATGGTTCCAGTCAAATCTAGTAAGTTAATTTCAACTTCATTTATTTCATCAAAATTCTCTTTTCTACAGTTATCCATCGGGTCGATTAGCTGTTCTACGTCTTCGATCATCAATATCGACAACACTCTTCTTTGATGATACTTCAATTCCAACAAAACAATTTCTTGGTTTGATAAATTCTTCAGGAAATGTTCTCGTAGTACAACCAGCATTTCACACACGTTTTGTCACAAATAATCATTATGAATATGCGTATTTATGTAATGGAAAAACAGGCATAATTGAAAATCAACTTCAATGGTCATTAAAATCTCCATTTCCTCGCCAATCAACTCCAATTGATGAGGATACAGAACAAATTCCAATCATTGAAAATACAGTTCAATTTCAATTGAATTCTTTTATGCAACTCGAATATAATAATCCAACGAATATTCGCTTTGCTTTTATATGTCTTAATGAACAATTTAAATATCAATTAGGAAATTCTACATTAACAGTTCAATCTCCGTTAATCATGGATTCAACAACAACAGCGAAAAGAAATTCCAGAAAAAGAATTAGTTCGATTAACGCTCAAGACTTTCTCAATCAAAAATCAACTGAAGAACAAGTTGATTTGTATCAATTATCAATTATGAAAGAACTATTTCAAATGAGAAAACGGATTAAAATACTTTGTGATTCATGGCTCAAAGAATACCGAACAGTTTTAGGTAAAATTTTCAACAAATCAGTAAAGAAGATAAATTTCATTCTTGTAGGTATTATGGATATCGATTCTTATTGTTTCGCTGATCTATCTTCGTCATCAACAATCAAAGAAAATCAACCTATGTCGAATTTACCAAGACGAGCTTCATTGTCTATTCAAGCGAATGAGTCAGCACAGTTTCTCAGACGATCAACAACAAGATTCGATCGTATGAAATTTCCTTTTCATCTAACACAACGAACTTGATTGTTTCCTTTCTATGTAGAAAATGTCATCACACAATCAATTGAACAATTTATTCCTCATTCAGATGTTGGCCAAGCAATGAAACAACGGATTTATTCTGGGAAAAGACTTTTGGCCAATACTTTACCAATTATTAAATGAATTTGAAAACTTTTTCTTATCTTTTCACTTTCTCACATCTACTCTTCTTATAAATACATCTGTCACATTTCTTCATTCCATTAGTTTTTCGATCTATTGAGAAAATCATTACATAGAAATTAACTATTTGTAAGTACTCACATTTTCATTGACATTTTGTATTTCAAATGTAAACAAAGAGACGAAATCCAACTGGAAGTGAACGGTAAAAATGATCGATCGATTCATGATGAGATATGCGGAAAAACACATCAATACTTCGTTGTGCGACATCCACGTACCATCTTCGACTAACTACTCAATTATCACTTCGAATCTGAAAAAAAAACATAAATCACATGAACGAAACAAATCAATTTTTGTTTATGTTCCAATTAGTTCAATGAAAAACACAAATGCTTTTTTAAACACATCTCGACCTACTGGAAAATGTCAATTTGTTGATATGAATATCGATGATAAAGATGCATTATAGAAACAATCTCCTCCTCCTCCTTCTTCCTTCTTCTTGCAACTAATCGAATAGTTAAGGTCGAGTGAGAGGGCATTGAAAAACAAGAATTTACCAAGGTTATTATCTTCACTATAATCGAGAGAAGGAAGGACGAAGAAGATGATGAGAAATAATCCAATGGAAAGGAAGAGAACAGAACCAATAAGGAAAGATCTCTTTTTTTTCATATTCTTGATTGTAACGTGAACAATACGTCACAACGACACACTACAAATCCGAAGTGTAAAACACTTGGTAAGTTTTTATTCAGAAAACTTCTTTCGCTTCAAATTGTGAAAACGTTTTTTTTGAGCAAACACATGTTTGATAAATTAGTTTGATAATGTTTATTATTTTTATTTTATATTAAAGAAGAAAAAGGAATATCAGCTTTGCTCAGAGCGAGAAAACACACTAATCCATTATCTGTCAGAAAGTGATTACGAGAATGAAAGATGACAAGACAATGATAAAGTCGACGTGAAAAGAAAAGATGCATTTGCTTCCGGTTAATATACACATAAACATTACGATGAAACAAACCAATCAGATGAATCAACGAACAAGAAAGAAAGAAATTCTTTTCTTCTTCTTTCAGTTGGATTTGTCTTTCTCTCTTTTTCTTTGCAGTCAATACGAATGGGACGAAAACGTTTGTCAAGTAACGATTCGACAACAACAATTACCAGTCATTCGCCATCGAAATCAGCAACCGGAGGAATGCAACAAAGAAATGCAGCAAATGCTCGAGAACGTGCACGAATGCGCGTTTTAAGCAAAGCATTCATTAAATTAAAAACTCATCTACCATGGGTAAGAAGATCTCATTTTAGATTTTATCTTCTAATTTCATTTAACTTCTCATTTCAGGTTCCACATGATACAAAATTATCTAAACTTGATACACTTCGTTTAGCAACAAGTTATATTCTTCATTTAACACAAATACTTGATAATGATGAACTTTCTCTTCAAACTGTATCAACTCCGGCAACCACAACAACAACAACAACAACGACGACAGCAACATCTATTTCGATTCAAGCGCCGAATAGTTTTGTTAGTTAAAGATCAACCTTATTGGAAAAAACGAAAAATATGATTTTTGTTTATTAAATAGAGTTGGCCATACTCATCATGTCATCGAGCTTCGTCTTTATGTTCAATGAATGGTCGATTATCTACGTCATCGTCAACGGCAAACCATTGTTATTCAAATCAAGAATATGATTATCAGATTCAATCTGAGCTTCTTAATGAGCATCAAGAAAATATTATGGAAGAAAAACCTCGTGTTTGTTGAACATAAATTATCATAGAAAATCAATAACTGTGATACTTCTGTATATAGTCAGTTTGATTTGCTGTGCTGTGTATTTATATATTTACGTATTCTCATTTTTTTAAAAAGAATTACGAATAAATTATTGTCTTTAACTTTATACGAAACTTTACTATCAAGAGCAACAGTACGCTGAAAGTCTTGGTAAAAACTTTCGAAGTGGCTTTGTTTAACTGACGACATAGTCCAATATCCACCTGTATTTGTCGACGAGGTGTATATAGAGTCATAGCTTCGTTTTGTCTGTTTCTTTATGGTAGTGTTGCAATTTCATTGCAATAGAGAACATGAGAATGCACTAGTCTATTCATAACCTTTGGGAGACGAAAATAAAAGGAATCATTAGCCAATGTTTGAGGAAAAATAACACAATAGTGAGAATATTTTATCAGTGTGTCGACACTTTAACTGTGCTTGTTTAGTTTCAGTATTTTCGTTTGAAACTACGGAATTGTATTCTTTTGCACAGTATCTACATACGCATAATTTATTCAGAAATATTTTTACTTCGAGTTGTGTGGCAAAGGTTTAACATATAATCCAATTTAAAAAGATAAACAGACCATCTTTTGATTTAACTGATACAGTAAATGTCAGAAACGTTCAATTTCTCTCTGCAATGCTACACTGTAAAAAGAGAGTGGTGGATAATCTACCCTACAGAAGGATTTATAAAAGTGTTGCGTATAACAAACCCTTCAAGGGTTTGTGGAACTTTCACATACCCTTAAAGAGTATATAAAAGGGCTTTGTGAAAATTTGATGAAGGGTACATGATAGTAATAAATCCTTTGAGCAGGGTAGATTATCCACCACTCTCTTTTTACAGTTTGTAAATAGCTCGACTTTTCTAAATTTTTCGTGTTGTGTTAGGAACTGACCAATGCATCTTCTGTTTTTCTTCTCTCAAGCCAAAATCAGTGTATAATTGATTTTCGATCATCTTTAGTTTTGTAAACTGTGTAATTTCTTTTCAAAGTAATGTACATCTGATAGTGAGAGAAGAAAATGCAAGAACAGTTTTGAAACGAGAGCTTTAATCTGTCTGGCTCTGTTTCTTACGATATAAAACCCCAAATCTGGTGATCACTTGTTGATTTTCTTATAAATCTCGGTGTTCGTTAATCTGTAAAGTAAGAAGTTTAAATTGGTATACTGATCGATATCTTACACTTATTTTGTAGTATCCGAGCGGCCTTTTTTTCGAAATCATTGGTATTGTGTTTGGTTTAGAAATTTGACAGAGTCGTAAATAATTTTCATCAAACTTTCTAGATAGATCTTTAGTTATACGACGATCTTCATACTTATTTTTGATAAAAGTATATCAGACTATATAGATTCTCAAATTATTTCAAAACGTATGCGATTGAGGGAAATGAAAAAAGTCTATTCACACTTTCTATCATAGATAAGCGCTAGAAAGTTATTCTATAAGTTTTTGGGAAGTATTGCCAGAAAACTGAGTATTTCTGTGCCCGATTGTTCGAACTGAGACTGGTTCGCAACAAGTGTAAGTAACTGCTAAGAAATATTTACGTTGAAAATCTTGTTTATCTAAATTATTAAATATAGGCATTACAGTAGGCTTAATATTTCTCTGTTTGTAGTTCGTCTTTCTTCCAGCGTACATAGCATAGAACAGCAATTTAGGTTGTAATTCTCTGCGAACGTCATCATAACCTATTTCTTCTATAAAATTGATTGAAGTTGCTCTCTTCACTAAAATTTATTCTAAGCTTCACACCCTAATGATCCTTCTCGTTTCTGTCTATCTCGTCCAGAGTCTCACTTTATTGAACACCACAATGGAAAACATATTCATCAGATTTTACACCAAGTGATAACATTATATCAATCTTCGAAACTAATAAATGATATACTCGCATATGTCAGCGGAGACAAATCTGAATAAATGGGCAAAATAATCAACGCCACTCTAATATGTCGCTAAATATTTAGACTATTGACCAACAGTACTCATGCATTTATAGTATATTTAAGACTGAGTAAAAAAGATATCAAAATTTATTCTCACTACTTTGTTACTCTAACCAATGTCAATCAGAACGTAAAAGGATTTCAAATATGTTAGTCGTTAGAAAAGCAGTCTGAAACAACAACTATGAATGATTGTTTGGAGAAAAAGATGCACTTTTACCTTTCAAATGAATGAGACAGTTGCATAAAAATTTCATTCATGAGGACTACTCGAGTTTACATTAACGGCAAAATATTAAGGTCAATCTATAACTAATAGATGCGATATTCTTGTTGCTTGAAAAAATGTTAAAAGCATTGTGTTTATAAGAGAAAAAACAAAAATCGATTAAATGGTTGTAATTGTTGATCGAGAGTAACAAATAAAAAATATCGTTCCTTAAAATATTATTTTTCAAAGATTCATTGCTTTTAACAATAATAATAATCGTATTTACCTGTGCAAACTGCATTCAACTTACTGCTCGACATATTCAAAGAAATTACTTATCCAAGAAAGCATTTTGTTTATATTTTTTTCGAAAACATCTTGTGAGATGAATCGTGCAGATGCACACGCCTTATTTATTTGGTCATTACAGTGACATAACTAACATTCACTATTGGACTTCATTTCTAGTAACAAAACATGCACAGAAGTACATGGGATACACCAGATATTGTAAGATATTCATCTATTTCTATAGCTAAGACTAAACTTCACTATGCAATAGTCTGATTTGCCATCAACTAGACGAGTGAAGTCGAATATAGGAGAACTTCGAACAATTCAATCACGATCACGATCAAGGTCTATAGAATAGATTCTAATACACACCAGTTCTGACATAGATTTATTTTGCATTTACATTTAAGATGGTGCACACCAAAAAGACGTCGTATTGCCTTGGGAATGCTTGGCTGCTCGGTTTGTGGTGTATTGATTGCTACAGCTCTGATTCTAGCGATTACAATGACTAAAAAATCGGCATCAGTTGATCTCGGTAGGTTTCTCGATTAAATACCTGAGATTTCTGTTAAAAGTGTGAAATCTCATTTCGACCCGAATAGTAATTCATCGTTGCTCAAGACACAACTATCATGTAACGCTGTGATTATACATAGTAGTGCTTGATATTTTTCTACATGATAATATTTTTGTCTAACGGCATAAAGCATTGTAGTAACGACGACTTCTACGTCAACGACGAGCACAAGCTCTACTTCGACGACCAGCACCAGCTCCACATCGACATCAACAAGCAGCACAAGTTCCACCTCAACTTCAACCAGTAGCACTAGCTCGACTTCAACAACCAGTACCAGTTCTACCTCAACCTCGACGAGCAGTACCAGCACTACCTCTAGTTCAACAAGTAGCACAAGTTCTACATCGACCTCAACCAGCAGCACAAGCACAACATCCACATCGACAAGTACTACCAGCTCAACGTCAACCTCCACCACCAGCACCAGCTCTACATCCTCTTCAACAAGCAGCACAAGCTCAACTTCAACAACCAGTACCAGTACTACGTCAACATCAACAAGTAGCACCAGCACAACATCCACCTCAACTAGCAGCACAAGTTCTACTTCGACCACAACAAGCAGCACCAGCACAACATCCACATCGACAAGCAGCACCAGTACTAGTACATCATCCACTTCAACGAGTAGTACAAGTTCTACTTCAACCTCAACAAGCAGTACCAGCTCCACATCCACTTCCACTAGCAGTACCAGCACAACATCCACATCAACAAGTAGCACTAGCACAACATCTACGTCAACCAGTAGTACCAGCACCACATCCACATCGACGACCAGCACTAGCACAACATCCACGTCAACCAGCAGCACTAGTTCTACTTCGACCTCAACGACTTCGACTCGTACAACATCCACTTCGAGCTCAACAAGCAGTACTAGTACAACATCCACTTCAACCAGCAGCACAAGTACAACCTCGACGTCAACAAGCAGTACCAGCACGAGTTCTACCTCAACCTCAACAACTTCGACTCGCACAACATCCACTTCGAGCTCAACAAGCAGTACTAGTACGACATCCACTTCAACCAGCAGCACAAGTACAACCTCGACGTCAACAAGCAGTACCAGCACGAGTTCTACCTCAACCTCAACAACTTCAACTCGCACAACATCTACTTCGACGAGCAGCACTAGCACAACATCAACTTCAACTTCAACAACTTCGACTCGAACAACATCCACATCAACAAGCAGCACCAGTTCTACTTCAACGTCAACAACCACGTCTCAAACAAGTATAATACCTGATTTTGCTCCTAGTATCAACTTGTTTTTTACTGCTTTATTTTTAGCAACGACATCAGTCGCTCTTCCATCACAGTGCTTCAGTTATACAACAATTTCAGATTCTACTCGATTGGCAACATCAGGATCTCCTAGCATTGTTTGTGATAGCACAGTGTTTACAGCGACACCAGTATGGATACGTTTCATAGGTGCTGGGGGAACAATGATTGTCAATTCTGCTCCAAGTACGTATCGCTGTAACACTCATGCACCAGGGTGGTATACGGGTAGCCTTCCTGCAGCTGGTGGAACTGTCAGTGGCACTGTTTGCTACAACTGGAGTGGTAACACATGTAACTGGTCAAATTCAATTATGGTAACTAATTGTATTAGTTTTTACGTATACCGATTAATAACTCCACCAGTTTGTAACTTGCGATATTGTACCATGTGACAATACTGTACTCTTCATAATCTCACGGAGATTCTCAACCGATGGATGCTCTTTTCTTTGTATGGTTTTTATCAAATATTGAATAAATTCGTCTGTTTTTCACATATACTCCTGAGTGAAACACTTAAATATCAATTCTCTCTTGAAGTGAAAACAAAGTAAAGCAATATGTACATATGCACGATATTTTAATAAATAAACTTTTGAATTAAGCGAAGAAATACGATTCCAACAACTATTTTGATCAAAATAGGCTTAAAATGCGAACTAAATGTATTTGAAGCATTGGTAAAACATGGTCCACTATTTTTTTGACATTCAAACTGTGCTGTGCAATATTGTTGTTGATTCCCACATTTTAAATCAAACATTCCTTTTGTTTGTATCCACAAGCCTGTGCAATTTGTATCAAAATCCATGCCCGGTATCCACTGCATGGAAATTTGTGTTTGTCGTCCATTTTCTACCGGTGTTATTTGTCCATAAGCTGCTAAGATATTAGAACGATAATTAATCGTCATATGTCCAGTGGGGGAATGATACATCTGATAAGGAGAAGGTTCTAAGCATCTTAAAACCGTACATGAACAACGGAGGAAATGATATGATCCGGAGAAATCTTGTTGAGCTGCTAGAATGACGTCGATTGCGAGTGAAAGAATAGTAAAAAGAAATCGATTCATGATGTCAGTGTGATAAGTATTTGGGTGTGCATGNATATTAGAACGATAATTAATCGTCATATGTCCAGTGGGGGAATGATACATCTGATAAGGAGAAGGTTCTAAGCATCTTAAAACCGTACATGAACAACGGAGGAAATGATATGATCCGGAGAAATCTTGTTGAGCTGCTAGAATGACGTCGATTGCGAGTGAAAGAATAGTAAAAAGAAATCGATTCATGATGTCAGTGTGATAAGTATTTGGGTGTGCATGATCTTTTTATAGGATGATCGAAGGAGTGACATCGGTAGATAAATATCAATGTGGGTTACAAGAGAAAAAGCACAAATAATCACTCAGCGATTTACAAGAAATGACTAACTCAACGTTTGTGTCACATCCTACGTGAAGATTTATTTATTTATTTATTCCGAATTATTCATCAGTAACATTTTATTGGTAGTTTTGCTTTTGGGAAAAGAAAATAATACATATATATATTTCCATCGAAGATACGAAGAATATTTGCACTAGGAGCAAGGACATCATGGTAGAATAGGCTTTTCTTTCTGTATGTTTGTTCTACTTATTTCTGTTCTTGTGTTTATACATAAACAGAAAGGAATATAATGATATGGAGATGCGGAACGAGTAGCTTATACAAAGCCAATTATAGAGACAAAGTTCATACTCAAATGAAAAACTATATTCATCTAAAAGTGATTGAAAATTGTAGGAGAGATACGAAATGTGCATTTTCTCTTGTGAAGCGTTTCTCGCATAAATAAAGATAGTGAAAACGTTAATTCATACAATGGAAACTTTAGAATAACACTGCGAGGAGAAAAAAAGATTTTTATGTGAAGAAAATATTTGTTCATTTATTTAGAAAAATATTCTTTTTTTTCATATTGTAAAAACCACGAAATTGTTCGACAACTAGCGACATCATTTATAAAATGAAGAGAAAAAAAGTAAATATATTTTCATTGAATATAATCTTCTAGTGCCAAAAATGGAAAAATGAATAATTTCTAACTGTAAAAAGTAAATAAAATCTGAAAATAAATTGACCTTGTTGATAATATTTCTAGTATGGCCGCAACTTGTTGTTTGTTCTGATGTTGTTTATTTAGTCTTTTCTTGTCGATTAGAAAAAAAACGATATCTTTCTCTAAACTATGTCCATCCAATGTAAATTCACCTAATCAAAAATTAAATGTTAAGTGGAATAAGTCCATCAGACGAAGTCAATCGTCAATCGAGTGCAATAGCTAAACGTCGTGAACAATTACGTCGTTGGGATGAATCGGAAACCAATCGAGAATCTGCTAATGTGAAAATCTCTCAACGTGTCAAATTTCAACAAGCTTATGTCTTTCTTGCTGCATGTTCATCATCAGATCGAGATGAAGTCGAGAAATTATTACAACGCGGAGTCGATATCAACACATCAAACATCGACGGTCTAACTGCACTTCATCAAGCATGTATCGATAATAATTTACTTATGGTCGAATATTTGCTCAATCGCTCTGCCGATATCAACTGTCAAGATAATGAAGGATGGACACCTTTACATGCAGCATCATCATGTGGAAATCTCGATATTGTCAAATATTTACTGTCTCGTGGTGCTATTGTCGATGTTTGTAATAATGAAGGTGAATTACCAATTGATATTGCTGAAGGTGATGATATTATTGCATGTTTGGAAGAAGATATGAGAAGAAAAGGCATTGATGATGAACAAGCGAGAAATATTGAACACGAAATTATGTTAAAACATGCACAAGATTGGTTGAATAATAATCAAAAGACAAATTCGAAAAGTTTACCTGAGACAATTGTACACGCGAGAACTGGTGCTACTGCTTTACATGTCGCGTGTGCGAAAGGATATTTAGATGTTATTGATGTTTTATTACGTGCTGGTGCGAATATCAATTCAGTGGATAATGATGGATGGACACCTTTACATGCGGCTGCACATTGGGATAAACAAGATATTATTAAATTTCTTTTAGAAAGAAATGCGGATATTGAAGCGAAAAATTATGNTGAGACAATTGTACACGCGAGAACTGGTGCTACTGCTTTACATGTCGCGTGTGCGAAAGGATATTTAGATGTTATTGATGTTTTATTACGTGCTGGTGCGAATATCAATTCAGTGGATAATGATGGATGGACACCTTTACATGCGGCTGCACATTGGGATAAACAAGATATTATTAAATTTCTTTTAGAAAGAAATGCGGATATTGAAGCGAAAAATTATGCCGTAAGATTTCATGAAGATGATTTCGTGAACGAAATTCATTTGATTTGATTCAGGGACAAACACCACTGGATGTTTGTGATGGTGTAACACATGAATTATTGAAAGAATTGAAAGAGAAACGACCGCCAGTAAAGTCGTCGACTAATGAAACTCCAGATAATATAACTGCACCATGGAAAAGAAAGTAAGAATCTTTTCTCTTTTTTGTTTCTCGATAAGATGTTTTCAATGGAAATGAATTGTTTCTTTTCATTTTAGACCTGTTTCAAATCGAACAGGAGATGAACATAAATCAATTCTTCGAACTGAATCACATAATGAGAATAATTTAGGTAGATTTTATCATGGTAATTTCCATCGAATTGCAACTTTTTTTCTTTTCATACAGAAACAACGAATAAAACTCCTCCAACTCCAACTCCAACTTCAACTTCAACTACTTCTGCTCCACAGGTAGATCATCAATTCCCTCGTTTGTTTTGTGATTGTCTTGATAAATTGCATGCGTTTAGTCCTCTATCCCTCCACCAGTCAATCCTGCATCTGTTGATGAGAATTTACCTACTTGCTCACCTAGTATCAAGGTTTGCTTTTCCAATCATTTCTGCACGAATTCTTCTAATCGATTTTTCTTTTCTTTTTCAGGAGAAATTAAACAGTCTTCAACGTTCATTACATGACTTGAGTAATCGATATTTAAAGAGCAATCAAGATGAGGTAAGACTCAATGAGAAACGATTTGTTTTCGAATGACGCATGAAATGCATTTGATATGCTTGTGCATGTTTTTTATATTCTCATAGCAATCAAATCCTTCGATTTCGACTAATAATTCGTCAAATAATGAATTAACAAAATCAACTCCATTGACATTTGAACAACGAAGCAAACAAATCAATGAAAAATCGACTCTAAATTCGACTCGGCCAGGATTTTTAGTAACAAATAAATATTCTCAACGAACATTCACAAATCCACTTCAATCATTAACAACAAATAATACTATTAATAATGACTTTACTACTCGCGTAAGACTTCAAAAGAACAGAGTACTCAATTCGCACGGATCCGCATGTTTAGTGATATTTCCCATCAAAACGAATCTTTTTCGAATTTAAACTAATTCCATCTTTATCTTTCCTCAGGACCACCCATCAACTAACACTCCAACAACAACAACAGCAGCACCACCACCAACGACGACAACAACAACAACTATAAACATTGCTTCATCTCCGACACAAGTATTGGATACAAAAATCAATCGAAGGTATTTTCTTTATTTTGATTTTCATTGATGACGAAAACAAAAGAAACAATTCTTCAGTTAGTTGAATGAGATGAAATACTATTTTATATTCTTCTAGTTCCAATGAGACACAGCCTGAGGTGGCACCGAGAAGGTATTCTTTTTTTCTCCTTTTTTCACTCACTTCTTCGTCTCCGAAACACCAAAAAAAACCTTCGTACATTTATTATCTAACCAAATCATCTCACAATTGATACGCACAACCTTGCAGATATTTTTTCATTTGCACAGAAGAGAAACCTTTACTTAACAAAATATAACGAATAACAACATCATATTCATTTTTTGTTCTCGATGCACGTCTCGACCTTTCTTTTGTGCTTTCTTTTGTCGAACAATATCTTTCACAGGTGTAAATATTCTATTTTCGATCAATTTAGATGGGGAACCACAGATCGAACAGTCGGTGATAATACTTTACCAACGCCCACCAACACAGGCCCATACGTACGTCGACGATCAGGTGCCGGTGTCAATGATCAACCAACAACAACAGCGACATCAACTATCGTTAGTGTCACATCATCACTTCCGATAGTGACATCAAGTCCAACAACGAATGTAACAGTAACGTCACCAAGTTTACTTGATGATTCAACGAATGGTAAACGACGCTCGAATCTTCCACCGAGTCGAGATGAGGAAGCGGAAGCCCAACGTAAACATCGTTCAGCACAAGCACGACGAGAACGACGATCAACACAAAGCGTTACTGTTGAAGATATCAAAGCAGCTGAACAACAAATCAAAAGTCAACCAATGAATAATCCAGATAATTCATCGACAATTATCACAATTCCACAACCATTAACAAATACCATTGAGACAACATCAAATGCAACTTTATCAAATAATAAAATCGGTGCACCATCAACACCTTCGCTGGTTAATGAACATGATATAGAAACTGAACGTTTACAACGAATTATCGAAGAAAAGAAAGAAAAAGCCAGAATATTAAGTGGAGGAAATGAGGTAAAGAAATGAAGAAATACTTTTTGATCTGCTTAACCTTGATTATCGCTGTGTTTTTTCTCGACTCTTCCTTCCCTTCTTTGTTTATTTGTATAATCTGTGATGATTACTAATAACCATACGCTTTCGATTAGATGGGAAGAAAAACGAAACTCCAGGGAAACAAAAATGAAAAAAGAAAGGAAAAACTTGATTTCATTGAATGATACATCGTTTTGTTTCTCATCGCATTTTGATGACATTCTCTGCGTCTCATTAAATAACGATGTATCCTGTTCTCCTTTTTCGTCACTCTTACTCCGAGACTCTATAAATACATATCCAACATATATGTATACAAAGATGTAATAATTCAGTGTGTTCTCTTCTACGCGTACGTGTATTTACTCTCGTTCGTTTCTCGTTCTCTTTCCTCAAATATGTATACGTAAATATCTTATTGATAGGATACTGTTGAGACGACTGTTGACGCATCTTCATCTGGTGGATCACGTCGATTACGATCAAGATTTACATCGGCGGATACTGACAGTAAGGAGAAAAACAAGACAAAAAAATAGTCTGGTAATCTTGTCGTATTCCGATAGATATTGTCCCATCAATAACAGCAAACGATTCATTGAATCTTGGTCTCAGTGCTTCGTTAGATTCTCAACAACAACAACCACGAAGAAGAACAAATCGTGTACATAATCAGCGGAAAAACACTGGAAGAATCATTTGGAACGACGTATGTCTCTCTGATTGATGCAAAACAAAGCATCGAATTTCTTTCCGTGTTTTTTTTCTCTTGTCTAGGAAACAAAAGAAGTTGAAATTCGCGATGATTCCAACGATTTAGTACCTAAAACCTCTAATGAAGAATCTCATCGATCTGACGATCAAAAACTCCAAGACAACGCTCAACAACAATCGACAACAAATCCTTCATTACTTGGATCTCGTGGTCTTATTTCTCGATTTGAAAATAATCCATCAACATCTTTAATCACAACAAAAGATTCAGCAAATAATCTATCTCCAACATCTCCAACACCAACATCAACATCACGAAGTATTCGTTCACAAAGTCAAGATCCATCACGTAAATCATTAGCATTGGCAACATCTTTACCTTCATCGAATACAAATACTCTTATGAATGGAATGGCTACTTCAACACCTTTTGCGTTGAAAAAAGATTCGAAAGAAAATACAGTTTTACCAACAGGAACAGCTAATGATGCATCAGCTATTAAACGAGTAACATTTTTTGTAGTTTTTCTTCTCGAAATGATTATTTTTTTTCTTTTTGAAAATAGTTACATGATGATGCAAAACGTAAAATCGATGAATTAACACAGAAAATCGATCGATTAGAACGAGATATCGTCGAACGAGATCAAATAATCGAAAAACTCGTACGTTTCCTCTCTTCAAATCACCGCTATTCTCTGATCATTCGATTTTGTTTTCTTTAGAAAACATCACAGTATATCGAATCATCTCTTGATAAACGAGTAAGACAAATCTTTTTTTGCGTAGAAAGTCTAAATTACAACTAATCTTGACATTTTCTTATCTCATTGTCATGCCTATTTATCATACAAATTGTTCTTCGAGTAGAAAAAAGAATTCTTCGTAGACATTAACATAGATGAAAAGTCAATTCAAGGACAATTTTGACAAAACATTCTCGAACAATTAGAGTAAACCTTCTAGATATGAAAGATCATTAATTCTTATCTAAATAAATATAATATAACGGAGGATTTTCCTCGAAACGGTACTTAACGACGGATGTCATATCATATTTTGTCTTTCTTAGGAAAAACGTGCATATGAAAGAAAAATTTCTGAATTAGAAGAAGAATTGAAAGTAAGTGAAAGACTAAGAAACAGGTACAAATCGAATTGCTCGTTGTTTTTTTTCTCTAGAAAATGGATTCAATAAAAGCAGATAACACACGATTAAAAGAAGAAAATGCCGCCTTAATTCGCGTAATCAGTAAATTATCGAAATGAAAACGAAACAAATAAAAAATCAACAAGAAAATCGTTTCTTTTTCTGTGTGCGTGTGCTCTAGAGTGCTTCTTTATTCTTCTCGTCTTGTTGTGCAATAGAGCCTTTCGTTTATCTTTCTTTTTTTTGTATTATTCTAATGCTACTATACATACATATACATAAGTTTAGTCACTTGGTGCTACGGATTGAGAGACATGCTGGCAAAACAGTGAGAAAAACTCGAAATCGAAGTTTTGCTTTAAAGTCTCGTTCGATGTGTGAAAACGAAAACAAATGAAGATTTTGTTTCATTTTCGTTTCTTTTTTCTTCTTCTTATTTGAATAATAATAATTAATATATCAGACATGTCTCTTTATTCTTCTACATTTTGAACTTCAGAATGTAATTTCAATCTCTCATCTCTTTTTTTTTCGTCTTTTGTTCTGTTCTTCTCATCGTGGATTACTTTCTATATCTTCTCTATGCCTTAGACACAAATTCGAGTGTGTGTGTGTGTGTGAATGTCTTTCTCATCATTTTCTCTCTCTCTCTCTCTCATGTATTTTATATCTGATTTCTCTCTCTTTTTTTGCAATCAAAAATACATCACACGCACGCGCATATTTAATTCGGAAGAAAGAGAAAATCAATTTTCTTCGTTTTTTTTGCAGAACTATGTCCGGTGAAGAAAATCATTCAGCTGATGAATCAAATAACAAACCAGTAGGTTGAGAACTGATATGATCACGATTCATTTGTCTCTGTATCTGTCGTAGTTGATCGCTGAAACAAAAATTTGTTCAATTTGTTTAATAAGTGGAAGGTAAAACAGAGAATTGCATTCGAAAAGCAAATCTTTGATTTCTCACTCGTTTAGTACAGATGACAGTGATCCAATTGTTTATTGTGATCGATGTGGAGTTATTGTCCATGAAAGTAAACCGAATATTTGTCAAAGAATTCTTCATTTCATCGATTATTTAGGTTGTTACAATGCAGATACATTAGACGATAAATCGTCGGATTCATCTTCACCATCTGAATATTGGTTTTGCACTCCATGTTTAGCTCATATTGATGATCCGGTAGGTGAATAAAGCCAAATATTTGTTTTTATTGAATCTTCTCTATTTGAACAGACGTGTGCTTTATGTCCAAATCGAGATCGTTGCAATGCATTGTGGCCAACATTAGAATCCAGTTGGGTTCATGTTATTTGTGCAATTGGTGTTCCTGGAGTATTATATTATGATGAACTTTATTATACACCTGTGGATCTATCGAATATTCCAGCACAAAAATTTGGAAATAAACCATGTCATGTGTGTGAATCGAGATCAGGTGTGACAGTGTCATGTGATGCGGGTTTATGTCCAAATGCATTTCATTTATCATGTGCGAATAAGAATGGATTGTTGCAAATCAGAGGAGATGTGGTTTGTTTGATCTATTGCGATGATTTTGTTTGTTTATTCTTGAGAAATTCTTTAGTCGAAAATCGAATGTGAATTGTATTGTGTGACGCATCAATCGTCATCCAATACGTATAAAAATGTTCAACGAAATTATACGATTTGTGAAGTTCAACAAAAGCAATTGGATCATCGAAATGATTTAAAAGTTTGTTTCTGTTTTTTTCGAAGGTTATTCCGTATGAAAATGTTTTCTTCTCAGGAAGATGTTTGTCGAACATTAGAAGATTATTGGGTAATTTACAAAAAACGTAGCGAAACATTTCCACGTTTACCCAAACCAACGAAAAGTCATGTCGCACGGTAGAAAAACTGCGAATTTTTCAAAAAGAATCGAAACATTTTGATTAGATCATTGATGGTTGATCCAATTGCATTGAAAGATTTCTTTGAAAAAGCTCAACGTCTTCGTCCGAATCAATCAACAACATTACCAAATCATTTGGATCTAACATCAACAGATACAAATGCACTGTTAGCATTTACGGCCAATGAGGAAGAATTAATTCAACTTAAACAACGAGTTAACGAAGCAGAGGTAAAACTTCAACAATTGGAATCATCTTCAGTTGACAAACAATTGAAAGAAGAACATAAAAAAGTAAATCTCATCAATAAACGAATCTCTTCAGTTAAAAATCCATCGATTTTTAGTTGGAAGCCGAATTAAAAAAAGAATACGAAACTTTATCCTCATTAACAGAACGATATAATCAATTTATTGAAGTATTCAAACTTTACAATTGTCCATTAAAAGACGAAACAACAAATAACATTAAACTTTCGTCAACAATTCCAACAGAAACCGAAAGGTTCCAAATGATTTTCCTTCGAATAACCCGAGAAAACAGTTTTTCTCTTCTAGTTGTTCCGTTTGTAAACAAAAAGATCAATCGAATCAAATGATCAAATGTTGTCAATGTCACTTGGCATTTCATGGCGACTGTTTAACACCGCCGATGCCTGCGAAGACATTAGCATTGATGTTATCAGCAACGAAGAAATACGAATGGCAATGTGCTTCGTGTGTCAATGCACAACAAGAAGAACTCGATCAACGTAATGTGAATGTAGATGAACCACGTCAGATACGACCGAGACGAACAAATGAACTCGTCCTACGAGAAACAGTGATTAAAGTAAAAGAGATTTTGTGAAGAATTTTCATAAGAATTTTCATGTTTTTTCATTAGTTTGGCTCAAGAAAACGAAAACAAGATTCTGAGAATAGTAATGAACAGATAACAGAGAGTAAAAAAACGAAAACGACAAGTCCAACGATTGATTCAACTGATTCAAAACAAGATGAAGAAAAATCACCGACTAGTAAAAGTCGAACTGCGGTTATTAAACAATTATTTTCACGCAAAACAACAGATTTTACACCGGAACCATCACCAAAACGAATATCATCATCACCAAAGAAAAGGTAAAAATACATTTGCTCATTTCCTTTTATCGAAAATCATTCTGAATTCAGTTCAACAAATTCCAAATCACCACGAATATCAATCAAAAAACCTTCGGTGTCGAAATCTACCGGTAGAAATAAAATTATCTATTTTGTCAATTTTCTGATGGTTTCCTCCATTAGATTCTTCAATAACACCAGTTCGTTCTCAATCTCTTATCGTTGACCGACGAACGCCAACAATCTTCAAACAAAAAGCAGTGTCATTATCAATATCGAAGACGGAAAAGAAAAAACGTAAATCTACAAAAGATCCAATGTCAATTTTTGATTTTGATGATGAAGAAGAAAATTCTAATGGCACAATTGAACTTCGTTCGACTGTTCCAAATCCAACTCAGGATGAAAATGAAGAAGATCAAAAGACAAAACCGAAAAAATCCAATCGACGTTCAGCTGTAACCGTAGAAAACAATGTTCCATCCGATGCACTTTGTAAAGAATGTTCAAACTCAGGAACAAACCAAGATATGACTGAGTAAATGATTTTCTCTTCGTTATTTTTCACGTAAAATTCACTTCTGTTTTCAGTTGTGATAAATGCAAACATTTTTATCATTTCGCATGTTGTGTCCCTCCGATATCTTCTTTCCCGAAACGACGCAACTATGGATGGACATGTCATCATTGCAATGAAGATAATGAACATGAGACATCTAATCTAATTGCTCCTACTTCAACTTTAAAGGTTAAAATTGAGGAAAACAATCGATTTTCATTGGAATTGATTTTATTTTTTCTTCTTTGTAGAATTCGCGACGAGAACGGAAAAGTCAGAATCGAGCAAGTGAAAAAGAGATCTCGGTTGAAGATTAACTGTGCGTGTGTGTTTGTATATGTTATTGAAAATATTGTCATGTGTTGTGCTTTATCTGTTAAAAAAAATATTCAAATTAAAATTCATTCGAAAAGGACAACGAATTGAGTCGAAAGAGTTGTTTTTATGAATTTGTTTCATCGTAATTCAATTGAAAAATCTTCATTGTGTGTCTTCGTCTCGTCATCAGTTGTATCAATGTTTTATCAGATGAATAAATCTGATTATTCAATGTCAATTTCATTGCTCGATAGAAATCTGCTCATGTTTGTTGATGAAAGTCGATTGACAAATTTTGAATTGAATATTTACTGAGGAATACGAACCTTGAGGTTTATTTACTGTTGTTACAAATATCAACTTTGATAAAGTATAGATAAGATTTTGTTTTTCAATTATCTTGGAGTTTTGGTGAATTCTCAGGTTTTGACGATATCACAACAAAAAATCTGCGCAATTTGATAAAGTTTCTCTGTGGCTAATCACAAGAGTTACTTGGACTATAAAAGGTATGTCTTCATCNTGAATATTTACTGAGGAATACGAACCTTGAGGTTTATTTACTGTTGTTACAAATATCAACTTTGATAAAGTATAGATAAGATTTTGTTTTTCAATTATCTTGGAGTTTTGGTGAATTCTCAGGTTTTGACGATATCACAACAAAAAATCTGCGCAATTTGATAAAGTTTCTCTGTGGCTAATCACAAGAGTTACTTGGACTATAAAAGGTATGTCTTCATCGCGTTTTTCTCTGAGCACATGTCGGGCCGAGTTAGTAATACGAATGAATATAACAGTAAGTTAGAAAATCCTTTCTTTATACTTGTATGATCATTATTCTTCATAGACGAAATAGATATAAAATACGAAATGGGCACCAGTGATAGAAAAGTTTATGAAAATTTATTAGAAATTCAAAATACATTAGAGGAATCATTTAATTTAATGAAACAACATCTGACAACTCGACCGATGGAACGACTAAGAAACAAATACTTTAAAATGCGGTACAAAAATTATGAGGACGCGTGGGAGTATCGTGTCAATAGAAAAATACGTGTGTACCTAATAGTATATCCGTCCGAACGACGTGTATACATATTTGGTGCAGGTGCTCATCCGAACGGATCTGCTCCCACACCTCCTAAATCAAAAAACATTTTATGGTCGCGATTCTTAGTAGTTTGATCAAATTCGCCTCTTCCCAATCATTTCACTTTGCTTCTTCCTCCCGAATCAATCTCATTCTGCTTTCAAAATGTTCTTATTTGGCTCCTTGGAGCATTGTGGTCATTATTCCACTCTTTCCATCTGTCATCTGGACAGACTCCCGTCTCGTTGAGAAAAGGAAAGAGCTGGCGAATTAACTTATATTAATGTGTTTCATGGGGGTGTATCTGTACTAATGTATGCAGTATGACTATCAAAGGCTGCTATATTAATATAGATATTTCTTACAAACATATTCATCGTCGATAAAACTTTTCATTCGAACCGTTTTAAAGAAAACATATTTTTCTCTTTGTAGACACGTACATCGCTTCCATCCAAGGTAGGTTATTATTTGACACGAATTTGGTTTCCAGAATCGGTACCAAAATGGAGTCCCTATTTGTGGATTTTCTTGATATTGAACGTGCTATCGTTCACTCTCTGTAGTTGTCCCAATGTATAGCTCGAGAAATGTGTCGGTTCTATCGAAAGACCAATTAATCATTACAATATTGATGTTGTTTGTTTAGAAAAAGACACTTGCACAACGTATTTTAGGCATATTGTCAGTTTAAAAATGCAGTTTTTCAAAACTAATCACACATTCTGACAGCTCGTAGAATTCTGTATTGCTATGTTCAATTCGGAATTAGCTTTTGATATTTTTTCAACGACAAAAATCGATCAGAATGAAGACATCCTCATGTTATGTAGGATCTCTTAGACACGGATTCGTTTCTTCACTTTCAAACACAACACGATGAGCTCTATCGATTCCAATTATAAAACGCTTTCATCCACTCTCAACATTCACATTCTCCAAGATACTTTACATCTTCATGTTTCACTTTCCACGGATATATGTAACGTTTTGTTAGATGTGCATGTGCTAATAATGAGAGAAAAGGTCAAGTAAAACTATACAATAATATATTTTTCTATTTCTATTTATGTTACACGATATATTAAAGATTCGTAGGCTAATGCGTATAACTTTGACAGATATTAATCATCAAATATTGAATAGCAAGACAAAATCACATTTATTTATTTTTTGTTTAAAGAAAAAAATTTAATATGTCAGATTCTAACTAGAACTTTTCAGCGATCAAATATGCAAAATAATACATTTGAATATTTGTCCTTCATTCACTTTGATCTTCATTTTCATTCAAAAGTTCTTTCAAACGATTGACATTATCTTCAATAGATCCCAAACAAGATTCGTCCTCTGAACTGCAGCTTTTCTTCATCTTCAAAGCATTTTCTAAATAAACCAAAGCTTCCCAATTTTCACCCAGTTTAGTATATGCGGCACCAATATTATTGTAACAAAGCGCTAAATTGAGGGGATTGGAAGACAAATACCGATTAATTCCAACTGCCTTTTCATAGAAGAAAACTGATTGCCAATAATTTTCACTTTTTTCATATAACCTAGCAATTCGAAAAGAATAAATAAACATTGTCGCATATTCTGAAGGAGAATATTTTTCAGCAAAATCAAGAGCTTTTTCATAAAATACGATTGCATTTGCATCGTCGTTGAGTTTGCTGTACATTGTACCAATGTTTTCATAACTATCAATCAACCTCATATCATTTGATAGAAGTTGTTGTTGGTGAATCGCAAGTCGTTTTTCATAATAAACGATTCCGTTTGCATAGTCGTTGAGTTTGTTATACATTAAACCAATGTTTTCATAATCATCAGCCAATTTCAAATCATTTAATGGAAGTTGTCGTTGGTGTATAGCAAGTCGTTTTTGATAATAAACGATTGCGTTAGAATATTCGTTCAATAATTGATATATAGCCCCAATATTGCCGTAAGTAGAATTTAGATCAGGATGATCTGGAGGAAGAGCCTTTTCGCCAATTTCAAGTGATTTTTTTAAGAAGAAAAGTGCTTGTGAATATTCACTTGTGCATTCATACGTCAACCCAATATTATTGTATAGGCATGCTAAAATTGGATGATTTGAGGGAAGAATTTTTTCGTAGATATCGATCGATTTTTGATAAAATGAACGTGCTTGATAATGATCTTCTCTTTCACTATATAACGGAGCAATAACACCGTATGATCGTGCTATATCAGGATGAGTTGGATGAAGATATTTCTGTCGGATTTCCAGCATTTTTCTTTGAAACCAAAGTAATGGACATGTCTGTTTTAAATCATCATCAACTGGATCGACGGAATTGTATATAGTTGTTGAACGTAAGTTTCTTTCGAAATCTGCCAATGCTTTTTCATAGAATCGAAATGCATTTGCAGATACTTGTTTTTCTTGAAACTCTTCCATCGACATCACATCACATTTAAGAACTGCTTCAGAAGCTGATGTACAATCACTGTCGTCAATCATGACGGTTTTACTGTCTTCGCTCAAATTCATGTTGGTTGTAATAATTTTATTATTGAAATCAGAATGATTTGAAGATGTTGTTCTTCTGAGCTCGTTGATTTTCACATGATACCACACCCACATTTTTTTATCATCTTGTTGAAATTTGATGAATGCAAGTTGACCACAATAATGTATTAAATCTTGAACATCCGATGTTTGTTCAATTAGTGTATTATAAAATTCTTCGGCTTTTTCAAGTTGACCAATCTTTATCAATAAATTACATAATCGTTTCCATCCTATTTCATCTTCAACATCTTTTGATAACCAATCTGTAAGTATACGAAGATCTTGATCATCATCAGCAGTTAATTGAAGTTCTATTTCATAGACTTGGTCATAACTTACATGTTTTTTTATATTACCAATACGAAAGATAGTATGCATAGAGAAAAGAATTTCTTTTTCTTCTGCGGAAAAACTATATTCCTTAATGCATGCGAATGGTGTTGAGGAAATTGAAGGATCAATAGACATAATAAAGAGTACTCCAATTGTATCAGGAGCTGTAGAAGCACTTAATGCAAACATGGATGAAACTCTTTTACTTTCAGTAGTTGATAAGAAATTGTTAAAGGATAATAAACCACCTTTTGCTTTAACAACTTTCTCAAAATGTTCTTTGGATAATCCTTGTCCTCGGTAAACTTTAAACGACTTTTTACCAAAACTATCACGTTTTTCATCATATAATTGTTGAATTTGATCATGTAAATGTCGAATAAAGAATCCCATTTTAATAATAGTATCACTTTCCAATTTACGAAGACTATCATTAAGCGTTGAATAGATGAACGCTGGCCATGTATACCACCAGATAGGTGATTTATCGTGATACTCTTTTTCGAAACGATTTATATTTATCGTTGATCCAAAATTCTTATTTCGACAAAATGTAATAAATTCAGCAATCGAATTATCGCTGTAATTCATCTTCAAAAGAATATCCTTGAAAATTTGTGAATACATGAATGTAGGTTCTAATTCATTTAGATTTTTACTTTCCTTAATTTCGTTTGGTGAGATAACACTGGTAATGATCGAATCTTGATTAGTTTGTCTAATCACCATTTTCAATGTATTACATAGAGATGTGATTTCAGAATGAACATGTTTTATTTTTGGCCATTTTTTTATCCATTCATGATCAGATGATAAATTTGTACGAGAAAAAATATAAATTTGATCGAGTTGGGGTATATCATGAATAAGAGGAATAATTTGTTCACCTAGAATATTATTTAATATCAGAAAAGTTTTAATGCCATTGGTTTCAGTGAAAAAATCAACACATTCATCTGGGTTAGTGAAAATATTGATTGTATTATCGACATTGTTTAAAAGTTTCAATATATTTTGACACTCTTCATTTGTTTCATCAATATTATGATCGAGCCAGATAAGTAAATAACCTTGGGCTATGTATTGTCGTAAATATCGACAATCAATTGAAGCTTGTGATGATGTATGATCATTCATAGTATAATTCGTTCGAAATAGTAATGTATTGTTCTAATGCGTGCAAATCGAGCAGACTGCTTTTTTCTCCTTCTTTCCTTCGTCAAAGATCTGAAATAACATTATCTTATACCATTCATTTCGCTTCTATTCTTCTTGTTTCTACTTACCAGTATTAAATATCTTGAGGGTGTGGGTGGTGATGAATATCAATTGCGATTACGTGTATTTTGTTATGATAAAATTTTATTACTTGAAATTCGAATTTTCATTCATTCTACTAATAATAAATATATGATTATTCATGACTAACTCCTAATCACGATCAATTTTCTTAATTAGTTTATTAAAAGTGACCGCATTCAGGTACAGGGTAGATAAATGAAAAGTTCTCTTAGTGAGAAAAATTATCGCATTGTATAAGAAGCAAATACATTTCATTGGCAATTCTAAGTATTACTAACCAGAAAAGAAGGAAAACAAGAAAGAAAAACGACCTTAGTCATTGCTATATAGGCACATAATCTTTAGGGATGCACCGAATGAGAATCGGAATCGAGATCGAATCCTCAGTTCCGATTTGGATTCGGTTAGATTCGCTTCATGCGGGCTTGAATTTGCAAATCCAATGTTCGGTAGGATTTGTTATTAGGGGTGTTACTTTATCTTTAAAAATAAAGATAAAGATTTTATCTTTACTTTATTCTTTATTTAAAGAAAAGTAAAGAAAAAGTAACATACCTAATTTTTCCGCCAAATGTGAAATTGTATGTTAAGTCAGAAAATGAACCTAATCTTAGGTATAGTATAACATCCTGTCTCACGAAATAACTCCCTGTTAATTTAATTTGTGCATATAAAAAATTTATTGTGTTTTGTCAAAAATTGTAAAAAAATTCTTTATTTTTTGTTTTAACTTTATTTGAAAGATAAAGTAACACCCCTATTTGTTATCGATGAATCCCAGATTCGGTTGGGTTCAAATTGGTTCGCCGAAAACTGAATTTGGAGCCGAGATTCGAAGGTTTATTGTACCCATTATGGGGATAGCTTATGGAAAATGAATGTGAACGCGCTGGCTTAATAATGCAGAGAAAAACAGACGAGAAAATCATCTTTAAAAAGGAATCACACAGCTGAACAAATAAAACTACTATGTTGTTAAAATCTTGTCCCTGAGAAACATTGTTGCCGAAAAATTGTCCAGTGTTAACCGACAGCGTTCTTTCCGACCAATAAAGCTCGACACAGAGAAAGCCGTTTCTGAAGGAACGCTTGTGCTTGGCGTCGCCAGATATCGTCGTGCCAACGAAGAGAACAACGGCAAGCCACCACCGTGCATTTACTAGAAATGGAGAGTGGAAGTGTGGTCATCGGTAGAGTCAGTAGTCTTGAACGCGAGCAGTCGATAGGGTCTGAATTCATCGATGAGGGATGAGCGCTTGTCCTTGGTAATGTTCGAGTCGTGGCCAACAGACTGAAGGAATGCACTGACAACGGAGACAGATACCTTCGGCACTGCGACAGAACCTGTGTGTGGAACAGCGATCGAAGATTCGTTGCTTTGATCGACATCGTTGTGCATAATATTTTTTAGTCCTTTAAATAGAAATGAAGGGTATATGAGGCATTGAGACTTTGAGTTATTAAAATTATTAATAAGGTTTTTAAAAGTCTAGTATTTATCATTTTAAGCGTGAGGCGTAAGTATTAGTAGGGATCTATCTCGATGAAGTTGCGGAGTGGGTGTCAGTAGGATCTGGTTTGATTGCAAAACCGTTCGATACCTCCCAATATCATCTATTTGTACTCTGACCCAAAGTCATGGATGATATTGTATCTCATTCCTTTTTGCTCTCGTCTATTTGTACATGCTTGCTTAATATTTTTGGTACCATTAATGTAACCATATAGCTATAATAAAGATGCAAAGCAAATATGTATGCATTGAATAGACTGGAAGGCAGTGACTAGCGATATGAAATTCTATTTACTCGATTAACGTTGAAAAATCATAACATGTCAATAGCGTTAAGTATCTCATATTTCCTAGGTCTGCTGACTTAAATAAGTGTTAAGAAGTTGTCCTCATCTAATAGAAGGCATCATTTTCCTACACCCGTAAGCCCATTGCTTTTTGGATAAGAGGAAGCTAGTTTCTTTTCTAAAATTCAATTTGAAATATAAGAAAAATCATACGACTCGACTTGAGTGAAATTTCACACATGTAGTTTCGCGTCAGAAAAAGTCATGAAGCATTCCACGGAGCCTCTATGGGTTTTAGAAATTCCAAGAAATGTTTGACGAACCAGTAATAGCTTATGGGGACGGGTGATGTGGGTGAAATCTCACCTCGGTGATTTTTAAACTGTAAGCGACCACAAAATCCCCTTGCTGCCTCAGAAAGCGTAGAGCAACGTGAATAAAGTGTTAGGAGACTAGTTAGGAGTGACTGAGGGTGAGGGTGATGCGAATGAACTGCGTGCCACCTGAGTGAATTTCACCCAAACAGTTCTGTAACAGAGAAGGTGCGCAAATTTGCAAACAACTTTCCTTGATCTAGGAAAACGAGTTGACGAACCACTGTGGTGTTAGGTTTGGATGACTCGGGTGAAAGTTTTCCAGCTGACTTTGTGATGGAGAACGACACAAAACATTCAACTACATGTATGCTTGCTATAACCTAGGAAGACGACAACACATGGTGAGGAACTACATGATAAGGATCCGCTCGTGAATCTGCGTGAAATACATCCAGATTACTTGTCTATCAGTCATAACTCCCTGTAGTAGATACCGTTATCAAACTTGCCCAGATGAGTTTAGATCTCTAATTGATAGACATATCGATCCAATGGCATGCATTTCGAATGTGAAGTTCATCTATCTGATTGAGAATAGTAATAGTTCTATTATAAATAAATTATTTTACAATGAATAAACGGGTAGAATTAGAATCGAAGAACTTTGATTTAAAAATAGAAAGGGTTATTTATATGTTGAAAGTGTCTTGTAATTTGATATCAGCATTGTTGGCTGATGTTGAAATCGAAACAGTGTATTTTCCTGATGCAATCGTCCACTTTTGATTGATAACATTCCAATATGATATATCGCGTTGTGTTAACTGCAAAGTGATTTGTTTCGATCGGCCTGACGAGATGTAAACGCGTTCGAAACCACGTAAAATTTTTGGAGGCTGAGCAGCTTCTTCAGGGAAGCTCAAGTAGAGTTGTGCTACTTCAGAACCATCTCTTCCGCCTGCATTTGTAATAGTGAATGTTATACTATAGGCAGGATCGTAGAATTTTAGTAAGTGCTGGTTGGCATATGCTGATAAACGACGTTGTCGGTGAAAAGTTTGTCCAATTGAATAATTTTCGTGTCCAGCTTTTGAAATAATTAATTTCGAAAAAGAAAACGTTGTGTACGATAATCCAAATCCAAAATAAAATCTTGGTACAATATTATTCTTATCAAAATGACGATAATCTAGAAAAACACCTTCAGTGTAATTCGAATTGTATGTATCAGAAATATTCGTTCCATAATCTGAGTCATTCTTTGCAAGAGTAAAAACTAATTTTCCACCTGGATTATAATCACCGAAAAGAATATCAACAAGAGCTGATCCATATTCGGTACCCGGTAAACCCGACCAGAGAACTCCGGTTACGTTCGGATGTTCAATCCATGGCTCAAGATTAAGCTGTGAGACACTATTGACAATGACAATAGTTGAACTACATAGAGATGCAACTTTTTGAACAAGTTTATCACCATCATGATATGCGGAAAGATTTTGTCGGTCACGACCTTCGGATGACCAAGCATTGATAAAGACAAGACACTTTCCTCCGAAAAAGCCACGATTATTCAAAGCATTGTTAATCGCACTGTAATCATATTGATCGATAACATATTGGATTTGAAGATGAAATTCACGTGCATATTCAAGAAGTGAAGTCAATGGATCAATGAAGTAAGTTGGACGAACATAACCAGATCCCCCACCTTGATACAATGCCCCATCTAATCCTAGTACACCATGTGGATCGATACCATCACTATAACGACTTGCTGCTGATCCAAATATAGAATAATACTTATCGACATTTCTGTTGAATGGCAAAGCATTATTGACATTCTTTAATAAAACCATTCCTGCGCGACCAACTGCTTGATTAATAACGTAATGATCGCTAATAGCATCACGATTTAAATCGAGAGATGGATAATTTTGATCTTGACCAACTAAAAAATAAGGTGCCATAATACGAACAATCATATCAGTAACTCTTGCTTCTGATAGGGAGCCATTTTGTATGAATTGAAGTAACGAATAACCCATTAGATTATCATGACCAGGCATGTTAATATCTAATCCACCTAAAGCTGATTCTAGACTCACTTTCGTTGCTCCCCAATCTGACATAACATTTCCTTGAAAGGCGAGTTCATCTTTTAAAAGTCCATTTAATGTTTTATCATTTTGACAGGCTTGCGTACCATTGACTTGATTATATGAACACATAACTGAGCCAGTACCAGCTGCAACACTGTCCATGAATGGCCAAAGGTAAATTTCATGCATAGTTTTATCATCGAGATTAGCTGAATAACCTTGACTTGGACCCGTCTTAGGACGATAAGTACGATTTGATTCTTGTTCATTACAAATATAATGTTTAGCTGTAGCAACAACACCTTGATCTTGAATTCCTCGTACGTAATAAAAGGAATTTTCGCCTGAAAGATACGGATCTGCGCCAAAACCTTCCCAGTTTCGTCCGTGAAGTGCATTTCGATCAATATTCATCATCGGTCCTAGAGCAAAATGAACGCCTTTGCCTCGAAATTCTTGACCGATTGCTGCAGCACGTTCATACATAAGATCACGATCCCATGTAGCTGCTATTTGAATTCCAGCTGCAAAGGCAGTTGAAAATTGTACACCATCACCAACACCCGATGGAGAATCTTGGAAACAAAGTCCATTGAAATTCAAACGTGGTACAGGTAAAACATAACCAACACAATGTCCACCAACACCCGCTGTCATATTACATCGTTCTTCTAATGTCATTTGTGAAGCAAAATCTTTTGCTAAACGAATTGCTTCATCCCATGTACGACTGGCCGGATTGATCTTTTCATGAAGCTGTCTTTTGATTAGCGCTGTTTCTGTAGACTCATAATAAGCACTAATGACTAGAAATAGAACAAAATACTTGGACATCATCTTACTGCAACTAATATTTCTGCGTTTATCAGTAAGAAATGTGTATATATTTATATGTAAGTGACAACTGAAGATGTTCGTTATCTCTTTTGGGCTTGTTCTCAGTAAATATATACCTTTGACGAACTGAAAGATAACATTAGTACCATAAATATCTAAAAAGTCAACAATTGATAAAACCAACCGAAGAATTTTTTTTTTAATCTTATAACTCGTTTTAATATTTTATGAGATAATTATTTCTAGGTACATTATATTTTATAGATGGAAGACTACAGAAAGAATAAGGGTGTGAGCATGAATTCTTCTACTATCAACACTCATACCCTTCATACAGTTAATGAAAGCTCCTATTTGATTTACAGTTACCTGGATGTCAGCTAAACATCAGGTGACAGGCACTAACCGAGACTGTGACACGTTGGCTACTGAACATTTATTTAAAAAAACAACAATAAGAAGAAATATGAGTAAAACTAAACAAAACAGAGTGATTTTGACAAATAAGTATCGTTTTGTGAGAATAAAGCACTTACCATTTCAAATCATAGTGATATGATCGTTTTATTCATGTGCAATTCGTCTCTTTTTTCACCTTCTTTGCATGGATTTCTCCGATTATTTTAAGTCAAACTATATTCTAATAAGTGTCTAACAACGGCGTTATTGTATATTATGCATATGTCTTTGGAGTGGAAGTGTAATGAGTCATACACTTATTATTCTTAATACGTCAATTAGTAAATTTGTGCATTTTCCATCGATACTTAGTAACAAAGAATTCCGTCGTTCAATCCACTTTGACCACTAACTTGTAAATTCTATTATCGCCTATTCTTTCAAGGCTTTTATTTTTAGAAGAACCATTTACAGTAGCATATCATGAAAAGCATCAATATTAACAGTTTTTCTCCCAAATACTTATAAACGCGTATTCCAGTCTCCATCCATATGACTTGTACTGATGTATGAATGCATGGTAATCCCAATTCTGAGAGACTCTCCGCTACAATCTCTTTTAATCCAAACAATTGTGCTAACCAACCTGCTAAATGTTGCATTGTTATTTTGCCTGGCATTGACGCGTAACTGCTGCTCTGTTTGATTTTCTTTCGATTAATATCGCATATTTTTCTCCAATATTTTCGATTGACATTACCTGTGTAAGTTTCAATAAAATGATCAAAGATCGGTAATATTCCATCCACATATCCATGAAATCTATCATTACTAAATGCTTTCAACTGTCGTGTCTTATCACGAAGAGATTTCCAATCATCTAGTGTACCTATTAATCAAGTCATTGCCGTGGAAAGAATTGATTCCACTTTGTTCGTCGTTGAAAATTTGTTTTCTAATACTTCACAAATATTATTCGCCGTATTTTCCTTCTTCGTGTTTGACCAAAATCGATCGAAGTTGTTCTGCATTGTTATGAACATGTTTTGCAAAAAACAGACATACCAATAACCACATGTCATCCGGTGATAAAACAACATCATCATGTCAATAATATGCTCAGAGAAACATATCGAGGATCGCATTCGATGACGGATTGGTATAACATCCATTGAAAATTGTATACATAGAAGTTGTATCATTAAATCCATACCGGTCTTCATCGAAGAAATTGTTCAGTGCAAAATACCGCCAACTATTTTCCACTGTTTCATTCGATTGAATGGGTTCGAAAGTTGTTTGAACAGGCTTCAATTTTTTATCAATAATAATTTTATGTAATGTCATTGTTCAAATAACTTTTTAGTTGGAATCGACTCAGTCTGTATTTATATATATCTGTGCACATTTTTTCTGTTTCCTCTGTCTTCTACTTTATTTTTGTCTTCTGATTCGCATTCGGCAATATTTAGATGTATAACTTTTTTATCGTTTATTTTACCCCCTTCTCTCTTTTTTAATGAATCCAAAATGGCACAATAAATTAAATACAAAAGAAAAAAAGCAAGATTAACAGATGTATTTTTTTTCCATTATCGAATAGTCACTTACATAATTTGGGTGAAATTTTTGATTGTTAGTATTTATCAACATAAACGTCGATTTCTCCAATTGCAATAGCAACTGCAACTCTTAAAAAAGAAACGAGAATGGGCTATTTCTGCTGTAGTTAAGTACAGATCAATCGAATCAAACAATCCTCTCCAAAAACGACAATCGTCTTGTGAGCCATATCCATTTCTTGATGAATGTGGAAACCAAAATTCATACCATGGAGCAAACGAATGACTTGCAACAATCCTTTTGTCAACTTGAAACATGCAGGAATGGTATTTCCACAGAGTTCTGAATAATAAAAACTCAACATGAAAATCTTCAGCAACAATGTGATCAACCGATGTCCCAAAAGCAACCTGTGCGGAAAATACCATTTGAAATTTCGGATCTCGAACAATTAGTTAAAGATTTTGAAGAACGTTTTGATGTGATAGAGTCAGGCAGATAAAAATCTTACAAGAGAAATGGATACTTGTCAACAAACCTTTGAATTTGAAGGTCAACTTATCAAATTTCAAGAACATTTCAATAGTTTAGAAATATATGACAACAGGATAAAACACAAATCGAAAGCAAGTGAAAATAACGAAAACCAATTTGTAATTATGAAAAAACATGATGATCACCTGATATTAATGAAAAGAATTCAGATTGAAAATGATTCATCAATATTTATTCGTCGGCGCGGTGATTGACAATCTTCTAGGAAAACAAGATGTATACATTCAACCTTTATAATCTATTCGCGAATGACTAAATTGGTTTTCATTGAAGACGATTTTGTTTCTCCATTTATCCTCATAAATATTTTTGAAATAAAAATTCAACTTCTTATCGAATGAGTAGAATTTTGTGAAAAATATCCTATTTATTTGCTTAATTATGGCATTCGATTAGTTCTAAATGTCAGTTTCTTTTAAATAATCAATGAGTGTTCAATGTGACGCAGAAAAGCATTGCTTGTCCATGAATACAAATCATCTTCATCTAATTTTTCGTGATTATTATATAAAATGTCGATGATATTTTTAACTAATTTATCATACTGTTTAATAGCTTCATAAAAACCACATCGATAAATCATGTATTTCCATAAGATTGTTACATAAATATCTTGAATAGGAATGAATTGTCTCGTGTATATCATTTGTTTTAAATCTTCTTTCTCATCGAAAGTAACAACGGATAAATTCGTTGAAAAATTCAAAACAAAAATCATCAATTTAATAAATATAACATTCGATTCGAATTGTCGATAGATCGATTTGACTTTGTTGATCCAAGTAGATCCACAAATTTGCACAAGAGCAGCTTGAAGTATGTCGTGTTCTTCTATTTTGAGTTGATGTGCAACGACAAATCCGTGAAACATTGCAATACTTAAACAATTTCGTTTGAATAACATTCGATAAGAAATCACGGATAATAATTGATAATGAGATAAACGTTTGAGGATTAGTTGATTATTTTGAAGAAATATTCGAATGATATTGAAAATAATTGTAGATTTGAAACGTAATTTAATCGGTAAAGAGAACTGATGTTCAAGTAAATATTCAATAGAATTTATCGAATTAACATTATTATCAATCGAAATGAAATTTGAAAAGACATACCATTGTTCTGTTGTGAATTTCAATTGTTCATTATAAAGAAATGGTTGTTGATTAGATGAAGATACAACATATCGATTATTATAATTATTTAAATTCATATTCATTCCAATTAAAAAACATTTCTTTAGACGACAAGCTGCACATTTCATTCGTGTTATTGATGTTATACGACAATTCCAATTGTTTTGACAATACAAAATGTTCTAGAAAATAGACCGAATGAAAACGAGTTTTCTTATCAGATGAATTTACTCGTGACAATGATGAATATTTTCGGAAAAATGATCGACATGATAAACATGAGATAATAGAACTCTGATTTCGTTTAGCTAAATCACCACAAACTTGACAAAGTGAAGATAAGGATGTCATCGTCGACAAAATAGAAATGCTTTAACAAGAAAAATAAGTCGAATTCTTTTATTTGAAGAAAAACAAAGAAAAGTTCAAGTATTTTTGTCCTCATTACATTTTCTTCTTCTATTAAAAGTTAAAAAAAGAAGATCAATTATGAAAAATTCTTTACTTTTATTCATAAAACTAAATGACGTGTAAATGCGTCGTACCTGATTGGAAATTAAATGTACTGTAAAACCTAAAGAATTAAAGTTCTGACTTTCTTTACAAATAAATATTCACAGTTGACGGTTTTCATAAATTACAATGACATTTGAAAGACTTTTTTTATTGATAAAGATTAATCGTGATTAGAGAACATATTTTATATCAAAGAAATGTGTCACATTATTTACAGAACATTCGTTTATTTGATGATCCAGCTTTTTAGTAACAAATTAACGGAAATTTTCGTACAGAAAAATGAATTACTAGAATTTCGCTTTGTTCTATCATAAATTCGTTTTAGATTAGAGTAATTTGGATAGTTGATAATGTTTAATTACTGTTCGAAACTATCAATTCATAGTTTTTGTTTTCTTTTTCGGCAATTTCATTTATCATTTGAATTTCTATAAATATGTTTGTTAAATGGAAAAGAGAAAAACTTGACTTTTAAGTTAACGTCATTTGAAATATTTTGTCAGATATTGGTAATAAGTATTATTGTGAATATTAACAGTCTGAATAGACAACGATTCCATTAATCATCCTCAATTCCTGTTACTTTTGTAGACAATTATGAACACGGACACGTTTATCTCATCTTTGCGATTAGTAAACGTATCGATTATAGTAGTGTAGAGTTCGTTTATTAAATAAAAGTGTCTGATTTGCAAATATATTGTTAACTAATCACATTAGAATCAAGAGATTCTTGTAGAAATTATGTTTTGCAGTGCTAATGAGCTTTGCATCTATTTAATTGGCAAAAATTAATATCTACTAAGTGTTTTTAGATTTCAACTATTCTTCAATGAATTTCTACTTAAAGAATCTCTTTCATAACTACAATCGATCAGTAAATTGAGATTTTATGAAATGAAATGATTAGATAAGACAGTTGAGTCATATCACAAATTATATTTAATGAATTTCATTCAATAAAATTACGTTTTGTTTTAATATCAATTCTTTTTAAAACAGAATTCTCTCGGATGATTTCACTAATTGATGATGTTTCTGTCACATGAGATACTAACGAAGCACATTTTTCATCATTTTCTTTTAACAATCCACTTATCATTGTCTGTTCGTCATCTGAATCTAAAATGGAAATAAGAATTAAAAAAAAAACTTTGAAAATAGTTCGTTTTACTTTGTTGTGTAAGAGAAGAATTATTTCTAAAATAAAAATAAATTAATTAAGTGAAACCGAATGAGAAAAGCTTCTACTCAAGCGAATTTGAATGTTTTTTCGACAAAAGTTTTCCATTCGTATCGAATAATTCCGGTCGTAGTTTTCGTAACATGAAAAGTTTCTTTCGATAAACTTCTTTCAAATTAACACGATTTGTCTCAGTTCCTAAAACAAAAGTAAATCATCATTTTCAATTCTTTGAACAAAAAAACCTTTTGAACGCGGCGAAATTCCAACGGATTCATCAATAAACATTTGTTGTTGACTTGCAAAATCATTTTGATCTTGATGAACAATCAATGGTCGAAGTCTATTGAACAATTAAAATCTGCAAGATTAGAGCAAAGTGTTTTGATCAATGAGAAAAACCGACCTCGCTTGTTTTGCTACTTTCTTTTTCTGTTGTTTTTCTTGTTTATTTTTTTCAATTGTTTGTTCAGTTTCAAGTTGTTGTTTTACTTTTTCATAGCAAAGACTAAAATGATTGATAACTTCAATTGTGGAATTCAATAATTGTTCACTTGGATTGATTAACTCCTAGGAAATTCACATTGTAAACAGTTTGATTCTTTTTCGACGAAAATCTTTACTTTTTTTCTTTCGATCAGATCTTTTGGCTTCGATGCTTGTTTAAATGGTTGAACGATATAAACATTTGGATCGATTTCTTGGTCAATATCAGGCTTTTCTTCGATATTATCATGTTGTTCATCATGTTTGCTTGGAGTATTGATCGGTACTAATGCACCGATGGTTGATGTATGTGCCACTGAACTTTTTCTTGAATGAGGATTTGTTGTCATTTCAATTGAAGAAAGTTACCTTTCTCTTTTCTTATGAAAAACAAATCTCAATGATGCAAATGTTTGTTGAGTTGCCAATAGAATTCCTTTGAAAAAAAATCGCAGGAAGCGCAAAGCAATACCATAGATTCTTTTTTATTCATTTTCCAGAGAGTAATGTAAATCAATTTGATTTAGAATTTGTTCTCGAATAATATTCATGCGAAAGATTTTGGCGTTAACAAAGAAATTCTCAGAGATAATCGCTAATAATAAATGCATAATTAATTCCTTGGTGTGACAGATGTCGCTAGTCGACACCCATCGTTCACATACATTTCATTGTTTCTGATTGGTTTTCGTCAGATTCCAATGTTCGATTTTATTGTAATGATGATGTTTCTCTCTTTTCCTTTTCTGTAAAATCCTTCATAGAAATTTATCTACTCAATTAAACATTTAGCTTTTACTCATATTCACAATGCATGCACATTTTGCTCAACCGATTCAGGTTTGTGCTCAGTTTCATTCTCTCTTCAATCGTCTTCTAACTTTTTCTTCTACCCGTTGCAGGCAGCAGCAGCAGTAAGTTCGTCTGTGTTTTGGTAGAAAATGACGTATTTTTTCTCGATAACAGGCCGCTGTAGCAGCAGCAATGGCAGTTTCGAACACTTCATCAACTTCGTCAACATCCGAAGCACATGTTTCGACACCAGTTCATCACACTGCAACGAAAGCTGAATGGATGGAAGCGATTGAACAACAACGCTTAGAACGTTCGACATTGAATAGACTGATTATCAATTATCTTGTCACAGGTAAAAAAATTTGCAAAAAAAAATTTTTTCTTTTTTATTAAACTTTTCATCTTGCAGAAGGATTTAAAGAAGCTGCAGAGAAATTCGCCGAAGAAGCTGGAATTTCATTGAATAACGTTGATTTAACTTCATTGGACGAACGTTTAAGAATTCGCGAAGCAATTGAAAGTGGAAGAATTCAAGATGCAATTAATTTAATCAACACTAAAGCACCCGAGTTGCTCGATCAAAATCGTCAATTAGCATTCCATTTAAAAGTAGATTTCTTTCCAATAGAGCTACTCTTATTCTTCATTTCTTCTACGATTTTAGCAACAACATTTAATTGAATTAATACGTTCGAATTTGATTGATGACGCTTTGACCTATGCTCAAATTCATCTGGCTGAATTTGCTGAAGAAGAAATCAAAATGCGTCAAGAATTAGAAAAAACCATGGCATTATTAGTTTTCGATAAACCATTAGAATCTCCTTATGGTTATCTAATGCAAATATCCCATCGACAACAAGTTGCCAATGAAATCAATAGTGCACTACTGATTTATCAAAATGACGAATCGGAATCGGATTTATCCATGTTAGTTCGGATGGCAACTTATATGCAAGACAAATTAGATCAAAAANAAATCAAAATGCGTCAAGAATTAGAAAAAACCATGGCATTATTAGTTTTCGATAAACCATTAGAATCTCCTTATGGTTATCTAATGCAAATATCCCATCGACAACAAGTTGCCAATGAAATCAATAGTGCACTACTGATTTATCAAAATGACGAATCGGAATCGGATTTATCCATGTTAGTTCGGATGGCAACTTATATGCAAGACAAATTAGATCAAAAACAACTACGTTATCCCAAATTGATCGATATCGCTGGAGGGAAATTGGAGGATTCGTAAAGTTTTCTTTTTCTTTTTATATGTAAAATGTAAATGTTCATTTGATAATTTGTTTCAAAGAAACATCAATATGATGATAAAACAAAATATTTGTATTGAAATAAATTTTGTAAGATTGAATCTCAAAATTTGTCTTCTTCTTCTTTTAGATGACATTAAATTGGACAACTAAAGAGAAAATTGTTTTAATTTCGAATATTTTGGAATTTGGTGATCAACCGGAAAGTTGGAATTCGATTACGAATGATCTTCTGAAAACATTTCCAACAAATTCCATTCCATCTCAAGCGAAAAGAGATGGTCGTTATGCAATTAAAGTTGGTTTTTTCATGAAAATAATTTTTCGAAATGTCATTGAAATTTGTTCGTTTAGAATTGTAAACTAATCTATAAACAATTAAATGATCGATATAAACCAGAATGGGTTGAACATGGTTCGACAAATGGATTGAAATTACCTTTAGCAAAGTATATTTGGATACAATTGAAATCCATTTATCAAGCAGAATTAACATATCAATTAAATGAAAGTCGAAAGAAATTAACGGAATTTTGTTTAAAATTAGAAACAGTGGTGAATAAAAAATCCAATACAAATGAATCAACAAATACGTATGTGAAATGTTATTGTGATCGAATGAATAGATTTTGTAATTGAATTTATATTTATTTTAGATCCATTCCAACAGATACAACAACACTTCTAAGTAATAACCAAGAAAATGAACAAATTGAAGAGAAACCTTTAACTGTTGAGCCTGTCTCTCAGGTAAAACAGTTGTATTCGATCAGAATCTTTTTCTACACGATCATTTCATGTAGTTTACCAATTCAGACACATTAATCTCATCCAATGAACCTGTTCAAAACACTTTGCCTAATGAGAACAATCTAGGTAAACTGATTCAATCATTTTCATTCATTCATTTTCTCTCTCGTTCTATTTTAGTGTCACCAATATCGGAGATTTCGAAAGAACAAAATTTAACTTCGATTCCTGTGAATTCGGATCAAACACCAATCAAAGAAGAACCACAAATTCAAGAAGAAATGCACATCGAAACTCCTCCTAATCTCATTGTGAATGAAACAAATCTTCCGTCATCATTACAAATCTCACCTAACGTTAAACAATCAAGTTCTTCACCGAAAGAACAAGATATTTCTCATTCATCACCGTTCGATTCATCTTCTTCGACGTTGATCAATCAAATTGATCATTCGACAAATAATCCCAATGTTCCAATTCAATCTGAATCGACTTCATCATCACGATCAACATCACGAACAAGTTCAGAAACTAAAACTGATAATGTTAAAGTGATTACAAGTTCAACGTTAAAATATCACGTTTACTTTTCTCCAAAATCTTCAATTAATAATAATACGAATGCGAATACAAATTCAAATACTACTCCAATCAATAAATCGAAAGTCAAACGGAAAGTAAATGATGAAATTGAATTGGAAACCAACAACCAATCAGAACCTTCGTCATCATCAATTGAACAAACCAAATCCACTCCAACAACTGCCCCAATGACTCGTCGTTCAGTCAATACACGTTCTATACCAAATACAGCTGCAGAACAAGAAGAAGAAAAATCTCGAAGGTAAAAACATTTCTTGATAAGAATCAAATCTTAATCAAACTCATATTTAGATTTTCTCTAATGATTTCGGAAAATCCAAATAGTTGGCAATCTCAAGCAATGGCTATTATTCAATTCATTCTTTCACATAAGTAATTTAACATAGATGATATTCACAATAATTCATTTTCGAGGAGATTTTTTCTGGAGAGAAAGAAATTGATAATACTCAGATAGTTTTGAAAATATTGCATTGTCTTTTCTATAATATAATTGATTTCATTTTAGACAAGGTTATTTATTCGAACATGAAATAACTGATGAAATCGCACCAAAATATCACCAATTTGTTCGACGTGCAATTGCTCTTGATACAATTCGGAAAAATCTTGAATCAAGTGAATATTCAACAAAAGATCAATTTAAAAGAGATATCTNAAATCAAAATGCGTCAAGAATTAGAAAAAACCATGGCATTATTAGTTTTCGATAAACCATTAGAATCTCCTTATGGTTATCTAATGCAAATATCCCATCGACAACAAGTTGCCAATGAAATTAATAGTGCACTACTTATTTATCAAAATGATGAATCGGAATCGGATTTATCTATGTTAGTTCGAATGGCAACTTATATGCAAGACAAATTAGATCAAAAACAACTACGTTATCCCAAATTGATCGATATCGCTGGAGGAAAATTGGAGGATTCGTAAAATTTTCTTTTTTTTAATATGTAAAATGTAAATGTTCATTTGATAATTTGTTTCAAAGAAACACCAATATGATGATAAAACAAAATATTTGTATTGAAATAAATTTTGTAAGATTGAATCTCAAAATTTGTCCTCTTCGTTTTTGTTTTAGATGACATTAAATTGGACAACTAAAGAGAAAATTGTTTTAATTTCAAATATTTTGGAATTTGGTGATCAACCAGAAAGTTGGAATTCGATTACAAATGATCTTCTGAAAACATTTCCAACAAATTCCATTCCATCTCAAGCGAAAAGAGATGGTCGTTATGCAATTAAAGTTGGTTGTTTTCACGAAAATAATTTTTCGGAATGTCATTGAAATTTGTTCGTTTAGAATTGTAAACTAATTTATAAACAATTAAATGATCGATATAAACCAGAATGGGTCGAACATGGTTCGACAAATGGATTGAAATTACCTTTAGCAAAGTATATTTGGATACAATTGAAATCCATTTATCAAGCAGAATTAACATATCAATTGAATGAAAGTCGAAAGAAATTAACGGAATTTTGTTTAAAATTAGAAACAGCGGTGAATAAAAAATCCAATACAAATGAATCAACAAATACGTATGTGAAATGTTATGGCGATCAAATGAATAGATTTTGTAGTGGAATTTATATTTATTTTAGACCTATTCCAACAGATACAACAACACTTCTAAGTAATAACCAAGAAAATGAACAAATTGAAGAGAAACCTTTAACTGTTGAGCTTGTCTCTCAGGTAAAACATTTGTATTCGATCAGAATTTTGTTTCTACACGATCATTTCATCTAGTTTATCAATTCAGACACATTAGTTTCATCCAATGAACCTGTTCAAAACACTTTACCTAATGAGAACAATATAGGTAAAACGATTCAATCATTTCCATTCATTCATTTTCTCTCTCTCGTTCTATTTTAGTGTCATCAATATCGGAGATTTCCAAAGAACAAAATTTAACTTCGATTCCTGTGAGTTCGGATCAAACACCAATCAAAGAAGAACCACAAATTCAAGAAGAAATTCACATCGAAACTCCTCCCAATCTCATTGTGAATGAAACAAATCTTCCGTCATCATTACAAATCTCACCTAACATTAAACAATCAAGTTCTTCGCCGAAAGAACAAGATATTTCTCATTCATCACCGTTCGATTCATCTTCTTCGACTTTGATCAATCAAATTGATCATTCGACAAATAATTCCAATATTCCAATTCAATCTGAATCAACTTCATCATCACGATCAACATCACGAACAAGTTCAGAAACTAAAACTGATAATGTTAAAGTGATTACAGGTACAACGTTAAAATATCACGTTTACTTTTCTCCAAAATCTTCAATTAATAATAATACGAATGCGAATACAAATTCAAATACTACTCCAATCAATAAATCGAAAGTCAAACGAAAAGTAAATGATGAAATTGAATTGGAAACCAATAATCAATCAGAACCTTCGTCATCATCAATTGAACAAACTAAATCCGCTCCAATGACTCGTCGTTCAGTCAATACACGTTCCATACCAAATACAGCTGCGGAACAAGAAGAAGAAAAATCTCGAAGGTAAAAACATTTCTTGATAAGAATCAAATCTTAATCAAACTCATATTTAGATTTTCTCTTATGATTTCGGAAAATCCAAATAGTTGGCAATCTCAAGCAATGGCTATTATTCAATTTATTCTTTCACATAAGTAATTTAACATAGATAATATTAATAGTTATTCATTTTTGAGGAGATTTTCTTTTAGAGAGAGCGAAATTGATAATATTCAGATAGTTTTGAAAACAATGCATTGTCGTTTCTATAATATAATTGATTTCATTTTAGACAAGGTTATTTATTTGAACATGAAATAACTGATGAAATCGCACCAAAATATCACCAATTTGTTCGACGTGCAATTGCTCTTGATACAATTCGGAAAAATCTTGAATCAAGTGAATATTCAACAAAAGATCAATTTAAAAGAGATATCTATTTAATGTTATACAATGCAATCAAATATAATCCACGTTATCATCATGTTCATCGATCAGCGAAAACCATCTTCAATCTTACTGTTCCACTTTTTCAAGTAAATTGTGTTCTAAGAGTTCGTCATTGTTTTTCTTTCTTCTTTTTAGTTATCTGCTCAAGATATTCACGCACAAATAGCAACACGACATAATGTATCTCTGTCATCTGATGCTTCATCAGTTAAACGAAAACGGTTAAATGTAAGATTTAGATCATTTTGAATTAAACGATTTATTTGTGTTTTTTCTCATTTAGTGATGAGTGAGTTTCTTTGGAAATCTATTTGTTGGATTGACAAATAAGAAAACAATCTTAGTCGTATACGATGGAATTTATTTTCTATTTCGAATGATATTTCAATAAACTGTCAAACTTCTGTTTTTTTCTATGGCTGATTAAAAAAAAACAATTTCATTTCATATAGTTTTGATATAAACATCAAATAAATGTTGTTTGAATAAACGAGATTAACTGTTGGAAATTTCAATACGAACTAAGTGTAATAGTGTGGAGGAAAGTAAGAAAAAAGTACTGTCTTTGAAATCGCTAGAATCCGTCAAAGTTCATCTGAAAAATGGTACTGTTGAATGATTACACGTGTATGAAAGCAAGTGACTATGTATACCCAACCTTCAACTTTTTTCAAGGAGACCTGAAGAATTTAAGCCGTCAACAATCTTTGACTGTGTACACATATAAAACATTCATTTTACCGCTGTTTAGACGCAAATTGTCTTTAATCAGCGTGGTTTTAGTTAAAATTTCTGGTTATTAGGCGTTTCACATCACATTTTGAGCGTTTGTTTGTGATAACACGTGCTTATTCTTCGAAAACTGTACCGTTCTCACGTCAATATTCTGAACGGTGAAAGGATTTCCACGTTTTTCGCTGCCAATCGAGAACCGGAATTGACATCCAAAAACGAGAAGATTTTTTGCAGTGTTTTCACGCGTTTTGGCAGTTCTTGTCTGCTCTGGATGTTCATAAATTGGTTTAGATACTATTATAAACATATGATTTTACCGGTGTTTAGCTAACATTGAAAAAACAGATACGGTTCTTTTTTGTGTTAAATTGTAATCTGTCTACGACAATATTTTCTTGATAACAGACTTCTTTCCCTTTAAGAGTGACCGTGGCAATTTTCGTCAACGTCGTTAATATTTGCAAAGCGGTGAAAATAGCTTGAACGCAACCGTTTCTTTTCGTTCTCCACCTGTTATCCGCTGATATAGATGTTGACTTCACTTCAAGATAAAAACAATTGACGAGGACGAGAAAATTGTGCGTAGATACTATAGAGCAAAAGAAAACCAACAAATCTTCCAACTTAAGTACTCTTTTGGCCTCAGAAGCCGGTGCAACTTAAATCATTCTGATCAATGTCAACTAGGAAAATAGTCACCACCGTCGAAAAGGCGGACACTTGGCAACCTATTGATGTCGAAATGATGCAAAGTGTTGTCGTGACTTGGCTGGACAACCATATCGATAGCAACAGTGAAGATCGTCGATACACAATTAAACAACTTCAAAGACTTGTCGATACTGTCGAGATATTTTCAGACAACGACGAATGTGTCGAATTTATATTGAATAGCGGTCAAGATAAAGTATACCTAATCATTTCTGGCTCATTAGGACGATCTCTTGTGCCTTGTATACATGATATTCCACAACTGGATTGTCTCTTTATCTTTTGTGAAAACAAACTACGTCATGAACAATGGACAAACGATTGGATTAAGATAAAAGGTGTTTTTATCGACGCAGTCTCACTGTGTAAAGCCATTGAAGATACATTTCGTCGATATGAACAGAATGCCATGCCAATGAGTTTTATAGCATCTGGACGAAGACCCGATCAACTCGATCCACTCTTTATGTATACACAACTTTTCAAAGAGATTCTATTATCTATCGATTTTGACGATAAACATATCAAAGACTTTATCAAACATTATCCTGGACTGTTAACTATCGATGATAAGCAGTCTCCTGATATTGATCAATTAGTGCGTGATTATCGTACGAAAGAACCCGTTTGGTGGTATACTAAAGATACTGTCCTTCATTCTATGCTTAATCGCGCACTCCGAATATTGGATCCCGATATTCTTGTGCCAATGGGATTCTTTATCACAGATCTTCATCGAAGCATTGAGAAACTCCACAAAGAACAATTTCTTGACACATATTATTCCACGACTTTTATGGTCTATCGAGGACAAGGATTGTCCAAAGCAGACTTTGCACAACTAAGACAAGCGAAAGGTGGACTAGTCTCATTCAACAGCTTCCTATCCACCACTACAGATCGTGGTGTTTCGCTTGCCTACGCAGAAAGTAGCGCATACAATCCTGATTTATTGGGTATTCTTTTCAACATAAAAATAAATCCAAGTGAGTCAACCACACCATTTGCTCTAATTGAAAAGATTAGTTACTTTTCGCACGAAGCGGAAGTACTATTTTCAATGCACAGTGTGTTTCACATTCACGACATCAAATCCATCGGTACTGATCGACCAATCTACGAAGTGGATTTATCACTTACTAGTGCTTCCGACAAAGAACTCACTGTGCTTGCTGATCACTTTCGCCCAACAGGTTTTCTCAGCGTAAACAGTTGGTTTGACCTAGGAAATCTGCTAATTCAACTCCATCACACTGATAAAGCCGAAGAGATCTGCTACAGTTTACTAAGCAATGCATCAGAAGACGAAGATTTGGGAGACCTTTATCATCACCTTGGCATTATCCTACATCAAAAAGGTGAATTTTCAGAAGCCATAAAGTATTATGACAGATCAGTAGCGATTCAGGAAAACCTTCAACCTTTCGATCGTTCCAGTTTAGCAACGTCCTACAACAGCATCGGTCGTGTGTATCATGATACGGGTGACTATGCAAAAGCACTTGAATACTATGAGAAAGGTCTTTCAATTGAACAACAATCACTTCCCGCTAATCCTCCTGATTTCGCTACATCGTACAACAACATCGGTAGCCTATATGATCATATGGGTGATCATGCAAAAGCACTTCGATATTATGAAAAAGGTTTTTCAATTATACAACAATCACTTCCCGCAATTCATCCTGATTTAGCTGCATCGTACAACAACATCGGTCTGGTGTATGCTCATATGGGCGATTATGCAAAAGCCCTTCAATACTATGAAAAAGGTCTTTCAATTATACAACAATCACTTCCCGCAGATCATCCTAGTTTAGCTACATCCTACAACAACATCGGTGGTGTGTATGATGCTATGGGTGATTATGCGAAAGCACTTCAATACTATGAGAAAGGTCTTTCAATTAAACAACAATCGCTTCCTGCAAATCATCCTGATTTAGCTACATCCTACAACAACATCAGTGGTGTGTATGATCATATGGGTGATTATGCGGAAGCACTTCAATACTATGAAAAAGGCCTTTCGATTGATCAACAATCACTTCCCGCAAATCATCCTAGTTTAGCTACATCCTACAACAACATCGGTCTGGTGTATGATCATATGGGTGATTATGCAAAAGCACTTCAATGCTATGAGAAAGATCTTTCAATTATACANACATCACATCACTTTCCTTTTCTCAAGTTTTTTTGTTCGTAAGTGCAAACAAAATCGGATATTTGAATGGTATAAACACTTTGAGTTATAATTCGATCGAGAAGAAAAGACATTTAGTATAAGAAATAATCAAATTATTAGAATTTCGAGATTGAAGGTTCTTGACTTTTCGTACAATTATTTACAAGATTCACTAAATGAGATATACAATATGAAAGAACAACAACGACTTGACATCTATCATAATCACTTCAATCAAGAACAAATATGAAAAATCCAAGCTCACTTTGCCATTTCATATCCAAATCTTATACTTTCCATTAATTAACTGTTTTCTTCCACAATAAAATTCCTCTCAACGTTGAATCTAAACAGGAAATGGATATGATTTCGTTCATCCGATATTTTCATTTATTATTTTCATCATCACGTCCTCACATATTCTACATCTCGTAAAACAGAAATATTAAACAAAAGATAAAGAAACGAAAACATATAAAAACTTTCCTTTTCAATATAAAGTAAGAAAAAAACGTCAAGCTTCATAGATACAATCAACAAAATCCTAAGGAAATCAAGTCCACAAGAAAGACAAACAACAAATGTTCTACAATTTTCAATTCACTATCGTTATTTCACTAAGTAAACACACACACATATCTACACATAATATAAAATGGATTATTTACATATATTTAAAGATAACAGCGATGATAATTATTTGTTGTTGTTGTTGTTGATCGAGTTGGTGTTGATGAAAGTGATGAATAGTTGGATAATTGTTGTCGACGAGCTGTTGGTGGTGTAGAGAATCCGACTAAATTTTGTCGACGTGCAGTTGGTGGAGTGGAAAAGCCCAATGATTGATGATGATGGTTGGAATTTGATACACGTGGAATTCGCTCATTCGAATTATTCGTTGTTTTCCTATAACAAAAAGAAGTCCACAATGAAAAACGTCGAAATTCGAATTACCAATTTGAGATAAGGGACGATGGTTCTTTTGTCGATCCAGGTGTTTTTTGTTTTGGTTTAGCAAAATTGACCTGAAATAGTTGAATTAAATAGAACAGTAACTGATAGAAATGATCTATGCGAACCACTAATCGTCGACCATCGACAATTTCTCTATCCATTCGTTTTTTGGCTTCCAAAGCATCTTTCTTTGCAAGAAATGTTACAAAACCAAAACCCTAGAAAACGAATCGTATCTTTCAATTGTTCATTTTGTTATGGGCGATTTACTTTCGAACCACGTTCATTGTAAACAACTTCAACATCGAATGTTGTTCCGTATTTCTGAAAGTGAAAAGAAATAGATTCAATCTTTTTTGAAAACAAAGACAAATGGTTTATTAACTCCAAAAACTTCAGCTAGTTTTTCTTTTGACCATGTAAATGGAATATTTGACACATGTAAACGTAAAGTTCCGTCATCATCATCTTCGTCGAACATTGCTAACGAAGATGATGGAGTACTCTTAAGAAGAAACACTTGAAATCAGACAAAGAAATGAAAAAATACAAAGACGTACAGTTCGAGCAGGTGTTGGTCGTTGAATTGGTGTCAAACCTCGTTTGTCATCTTTGTTTACATGAGATCGAATTCGACTCGGAAGATTCTCCGACCAATTTTCTGTCGAATTTGAACAATGACAACATTTCTAACAGAAGAAAAACATTGCATAAATCATGAAAAAAAAACAAAGAAAAACAAACTTACACATGGTTGATGCTGTTGAGATGATGTTGATGACCATACTGGTGGTGTATCAAGATCAATATGAGCAAATGAAGATGTTAAGGACCAACCAACAGGTGGCAATGGTAACGATGGTAGAATTGGTGAATCGGAATCTGTTGAACGAGTTGGTGTTGGAGAAAATAATCTTTGCACTGGCGATCGAGAGCACGTGGATTGAGACGATGACCACAAATCACCTTCCTAACACAATATTCAACACATTCAATGAAATTATTTCTCGAAAAGATATATGAATTACTTACAGCAAAGCTCGAACAGTAGCGCGAAATATCAATTAGAGTTGTTGATGAAGGATTTTCTTCCATAAAAATTCGTTTTGCCCAAAGAAAAATTGACTAGAAATGGGCTTTTTCTTTCGTCGTTTTGTCCTTATTACAAGTTCGACGAGAAGATGGAAAATGATTAAACATATTTCTGTCTAGTCCGGCGACGAAGATGGTGACCAAGGAAAGAAAAAAACAAATATCCAGGGTATTATTTCTTTCCTTCATATACACAGTTTAGCTAACCGTTTACTTAGTCATTCGTTCGAAATAAATCATTCTACCATTGAACATGTTTTCTTACAAATCTTATAGACATATTCAATCTCTTTATCAATAGTGTCAGCAGTTCATTTGTTAGTGTTAAAAATGATTTTCACTGAAGTTTGAATATTACAATGGTTTCCTTACATTGCAAATGTTTTTCACGTTATATCTTGCACTGATTCAATTCCACTTGACTAGAAAAGGTTTCGATACAAAAGCTAATTCAATCAATGTTTCACCTTGTTCATGTGATGAATCAAGATAAATAATTTGAGGATGAAATCGAAATGTTCGAAGAAATCGTGCACCAGTTAACGATGTCATCGATGCAGGTA